TGCATGCGTAATCGATGAGCACGTCTTGTAAAAAGCGGGAAGGCTTTTGGAAACATTTTGCAGACTCTCACCAAAACTCGTTCTTGATGGCGCAATGTTCTGGAAGAACTGCACCAGGTTCTGGCAGGTTTAATTCGTTTATAAAACTACATGTACAATAGATGAGACAAAACAAACATGGAACTTCAAGACTCATTTGAAATACGTTCTCCAGTACCTGGAAACCCGGAGTTTCATTCTCCCTCGTACGCAGTACTAGCACAGGAAGGTTTTGATCTTAGTTTAAAAGCATTGATTGTCTTGAACTATTCTACACTTTGCTGCCGGCGTAGAAACTATCTTCGGGTACAAACGAAGGGTCTAAACTGTGTGAACGGATGGGCCCGGTCCAACGGTCGGGATATCGTTCGGTGAAATTTTTCCAGAAAGGGCGCGCTTTTATGACTTCAGTTAAGAAAGTAGTATTGCAAGAGGGTAGGTTGTATTACATTTTGGAGGGATATGGAGGGAAGAAAATTTTTAGAAGAAAATTATTTTTACAGTTCGTACAAATATCCAGAAATTTGAAAATTTTGTTGTTTCACTAGTCACGTACCCCTCTAAAGACTCTTCGGTGTTTTGGAGGCGGACCGAGTTAAGTGTGCTAAGGTAAACTAGGTTCAACTCCGCCATGGATACCAACGACATACAGCTGGGTCACGCCGGGATGCCTTTCCGAAAGCAAGTCATCCCATCCTAAAGTTTTCCCCACGTACCATTAATCCTTGGGACTGATAGAGCAAACTTGTGCGATGGGGGGGGGGGGCAGGATTCCCTGGCACAGAGCCTACAGTTGTCCATTAACACATCACACCATTTATTCCTGAAGTATTTGATTATTTCGGAGCCATCGAACTGAAATGGCTCTTGTGGTTGTTTACCTGAGTTGCTTGGTTTTCTAACAGTTTCTGGTTTTTACTAGTACTCCTTGTACTAGTCACTATAGAGTTTTAGCACGGATCAATAGCCCAATCTGTGTAGCGCGTTCTCTTTTTGAAAGGAAGTTCGAGGACCTGAGTGCGGACTTCTCTCAGTTTGCAGTGCTTCATTATTATAATCTCGCTGCGAAAGGAGCTGGCCGAACTTTCTCAACTGCAATTTCAAAAATAAAATATCGCGAATTTTGACGTCTGTTCCTTATTACCGCTCGAACCTAAGTTCACACTCGAATTTGCCAAATTGTGTTTTTGACATTCATCAAACTAATCACCATTAGTGCAACATATCTCGTCATGATGGCCGAATTAAAGCGACAAAATCCACCACTGCAGTCATCGTCTGAAGAACACTTGGAGAGGTTCTCCAGTCGTCAGGAGAGCAACGCTGAAATGACAATTATGTGGAAATTCCAGATCGCTTTGCAGAAAAAACCTACGGCGTGAGACCGTGACCGCATAGTTCGAAGCTAGAAGGGCGATTTGGTGGGGATGATTGCCTGCAGCATACTCGGAAGCCATTTTGAAGGCTAATACAGACTCCTGAAAACGTTTGTAGACAGATGTTACGATATGACTTCATGAATGGCATACTGACCACTGCAGGTGATATCCTCTTCGGACCCACATATCTGTGGCCAGTTGGGAGGGTTAACGTATGGTTCCGGGCATCGTAATGCTGAAAAGCTTCACTTTGGAACGAAAAGAAGAAATCAGTTCTTTCTATAAAGTGGCTTAACCGAAACCGTTTTTAGGATGGTACACCGCGGTCGAGGTGGGCTTAGCCGCACATGCAGCTTCACAAGAAGCTTCATCGGGAAAATTGTTCGTATTTCCATCGCATCCATAGAAGACGAACTGTCGACATGAGGACATTGAGATGTCATAGAAGTACCTACAGAAGAGCATTGTACTTTTCCTTCCTTCAGTTCAACATATCTGTGGAACCGTGTTTTTCCTTTCATTTTTTGCCGTTGACTTTTAGCAGATCAGTTTTGAAAGGCCGACTAACAGTTATGTTTTCTTCAACATAAACTTTCTGCCTCATTCTGCTTAATTAGCCGTAACATTAAGAAAGCGCTCAAAGAAGTTTACGTAAGGACAGTGGGAACAACGAACCCATTGCCGTAGACTAACTCCCTTTCCTGTAACACTGCACGCTTTTCTATGGACCCTCCCCCTCCCCCTCCCTGGACCCCCTCCTATAGTATTAGGTTGTCCCATAATTAGTGAATCACTTTGGGTATTTTTGAATTCAAATTTTTTTCTTTTTATGTGGAGTCTTTGCTCATCCAAACATACACCTCTGTCATCTACAATGTATTGCCTATACAAGGAAATTTAGTCGCTGTCTTATCTCTAGAATTCCAGGAGCTATTGATCGAAGAAAGATCGGAAGTCGAGTTTGAGGTCATGTCACTTAGCGTAAAATTTCTTCCTGGGGAAGAGCGCTAGAGGTCAGACTGAGTTGTCTTTTGTTGGCACGAGGATAGGGCCACACAGAGGAGTGGAAGAACTGCTAGCCTGAGA